CCACGTTACATTTACCCATGCAAGATTTTATTTAAATTTTCAGAAATAATCAAAAGAATGAAAAGAATAATAACAATAATGCACTTCAGAAACTCAACCAATTCGAGATAATTAAGTCACACACAAACACACACGCAAACACACACACACACAAACACTTACACACGCAAGAGCACACACAAATGCCACACAAGGGAACACACTCAGGCATTGTTCAGCATCTACACTGGCAAGAAATCGTGACGACGAACGAAATTTTGTACCAGGCACATTCACCTCGTGAAAATATCCGCGACTTTTTTGTCGAATTTTTGCGACAAAACCACCAGAGTATAATCTTCTCGGCGGTGTCCGCGCGCTGGCAAGTCATTCCATTTGGGACCGAACACGACCGTGGACGAATTTTTCGCCCTAAATTTTTGGTCCGAATTTTGTGAGGTTTGATTTTCTTGAGAAGACTCTTATTTGCCCTGTGGATGTTTTTGTAGTTGCTGCCGCTGTGGCCGCTGTTGTGGTTGCTGTTGTAAATGACGTCATTGTTGTAGTTTTTACCACACGATCCTTCTTTGAACCACCTGGGCCAGAAGGTCGGCCCCAAGTCGACCCACTCAAACCTGACGGGGCAAGCCGTCAGGGCCGCCAGATAACTTTCGAATAGTGAATTTTTTTTCGCAAAAACTTTACCGTAGGCTGGTAATTTTATTGGAAGGATGACGTTTTTGTGGCTGCTTTTGTTGTCGTTAGTTGAAGAAACTCTTTTTATTAAAACCTGGCGTTGCATTTTGTTGTTATTATTATAATTGTCGTTGTTGCTGTTGTTGTTGTTGTTGCTGTTGCTGTTGTTGTTATTGTTGTTGCTGTTGTTGTTGCTGTTGCCATTACTACCATTCACAACAACAATCTCGAGATCAGTGCCACTGTAGTCGTAATAAACATTTTTGCTCTTTTCAAAAAAATTTCTCTTCCTCATCGGGTTCCTGATCGACATAAAATTCGAATCGAAATGGCGGCCGAGCGTTATTTTTAGTTTTTGGTAACTTAAATCTTTTTTGTTTGGCGGGTAATAGTTTGTTGCCTTCTGGAATTGTTTGTATACTTTCGGCGAAGAAGGCAGGTTTGTTTGGGACTCTGCTAGGAGTTTTGGTGCGAGATTTTGTTGTCGTTGATGATGTTGTTGCTGTTGTTGTTTTCGTTGTTGTTGATGCAGGTGCATTAGTTGCTTTTGATGAAGTTTTTGTTGTTTATTTTGTTGTTTATTTTGTTGTTGTTGTTGTTTTTGTCTATTCGGTTTAAGTTTGGTAGAAGGCAATTTGCTCATGATGTCGTTTTGGCTAATGGTAATTTTACCGTTGTTGGTTTTGTTAATGTTATTATTATTATTGTGGTTGTTGTTGTTGTTGTTTTTTATTTTGTTGTTAGCTTTTCTGACATTAATTCTACTTACGTTAACGATGCTTCTAATGCTTCTATTGATGCTATTGCTCTTTACGGCGGACGCGTTTATAAATTTATTATTATTAATATTATTATTACTCTGGTTAATGTCGTTGTTGTTGTCAGATTTGACGTTATTATTGTTGATAATGTAATTTTTGTTGTTGCTGTTGTTGTTGCTGTTGTTGTTGATGTTGTTGTTGTTGTTTACGCCACATAAATTGGACGAGTTGTTAGAGCTGATGATATTTTTATGGGATCTTAGGAGTTGAAATGGCGAAAAAATGGCCAATGATGATGTTGTTCTTTTTGTTGTAGATGACGATGACGTTGTTGTTGATGTTGTTGCCGTTGTTGTTGTGGTGGTGGTGGTGATGATGA